AGATTTTCTGCAAATTGCTAGATAACATAGGTTTATTAAGTGATTAGACTGTGAACTCTGCATAGGCTGTTGTAGTAGAGTCACACTACATATATCTATAGCTGTGCCTCTCTCTCTCTCTCTTTGTACTCCTTACGTGAATCAGTAACTACAATCAATATGATGAGAGAAATAAGACTTATTTTGAAGTATGTGATATTTTGGACTTGAAAAAATTATGGTTATCTTAAATGTGCTTCACTTCCTTCTGTAATTAAGGTTGGAAAAAGGGCTTAAAATCGATTTTACTTTCACTTTATTTCAGTCCCTAAAATTGACTGCTTCTCCAGATCTTAGCCAATGGCTTGTTGTTAGTCATCATGGCATCAGATTAGTTTTACAGAACAAAGACAGTAAAGAGCTGAAAATTCAAATGATTTCAACTCTTGGTGAAATAAACAAAGTGATGGCATCTCGTACAGCTAATAGACCTCGCTGGCGATGTGGAGATCAAACATCAGTTGGTGAATCCAGAGGTACTGGTCACGGGAAACCATCAGACTATCTGAAACCACCTTTGAGTAGATCAGTTAGTACAGTTACTTTAAATCTTCTTTCAATAAGTCATATCCAGGGAACAGAACAATTTTACACTGATATGGTGAGTTTGTGAAGGGGAAAGTTTTTTCATTTACTTTTTTGTTCTAAGTAAATTATTTTTATCTATCTAGTAATATATTCCACAAAAACGTTGATTAGTTTTTCTGGTTATAATACAATGTCGTCATTTTACAAACACGGGTAGATCCCAGTTGAAGAGAGGCAGGAAAATATGAACCGCCTTATTTCTAACCAGCTGTTTATGGCCAACTGTCTTTTCTCATCACACTATCATTTCCAGATGCTTACGTGAGTAAGGAAGAAACCTTTGCCCAAAAAGTGGAAAATACTGCTATTACTTATTTTAAACAACCATGGTAATGTAAACAAAACTGAACGAATTGTTCGTAGGGTTATCTTTTGATGAAATAGTCGGATGAATACATTGTTTGGTCAGTGGAGAGCAACCAATTAGATCTTGTCTAGTTCTGAATGCTGACACAGTTGAAATAATATTGTCATAATGAAAGGATTAGTATAAATATATATGAATAATCTGCAGCAAAGAGGTTAATAATCGTAGAATGTGCACACCATCTCATCTCAATATACATGGAGTTTATGACCCATAACACAATCTCAAGTGTGAATAATCAATCTGACGTGAACATATATACCATTTTAGCTGATAAGTATTTTAGTCTACTAACGTAAGTTCATTCTCTGGTCTTTATCAGTAGATACAGCTATATTTTTTGATTCGATCTGCTAAGAGCATGATTAGTGAAAAAGTGATAAATTCTCAAAGTGTTAAGTTATTTCTGAGTTATTGAAGTAATATAATACGTTTTAGAAAAGTATTTATTGTTGTTGAACGAGTTAAAAGTATGGTTCTCTAGGTTGAATAAATCAAAAATCCTTCTTATGCTTCGTTTGTCATGTGTTATTGTCTCTCTTATAACTTTTAAAATCGATCACTTCCACTGTAAGCCTACAACCCTACTGTTAGTACATTAGATAGAAAGATAAGCTTATGAGACATTTGTTAGAATGTCACCTGTCGTTTTAGTTTTTTTACCAGGTGTATCATATAGTGAGATTGTATTAGTCAGTGGAAAACATTTCAGAACCAATGTAAATCTACAACTTTCAGACATTACTTATACAGCTATAGTTTTAGCTTTTACTTTGTGATAAGAATGGTAGAATTGGTCAACTAGTCACCAATAAGTAATTCATGAAGTTGTTTAGATATCAGTGTTTAGCACTAACTAAAGTCTATCAGTCGAATTTCTCAGTGAAGTCACCAAACAAATTAAAACGACACTGTAATGCACTATATTTCAGTTCAAGACTTTTTGCCCACTGACTTTCAACATCCAATATCAGAACGGTCGAATTTCCAAGTGTGCTGAACAAGCACTGTATCATTTTTATTGCAGGTGTTCAATTATTTGTGACTGCATGCATTATTATAGCCAAGATTATCTCGAAATTCTTCATTTTACTAGAGTCCACTGATCTTGATTAAGTTAGGTTTTCTTGTTCGATCGACGATGTTGATCGATTTGTCTGGTCTCATAATCATTGTAAAAGATTTGGCAAAAGCTAAATTACTCTAACAAATCAGTCAGTTAAAATATTTTAGCTTAAAAAGTTTGTTCCTAAATGAATTTGTAGGCTTAGATGCCTTTCCAGGGTCAGCCTTATTGGGAATCCTACACAATGCTTCTGAGGTATCTTTATATCTGTAATTGGGAAATTGTATACGTAAAAGTAGAATACATAGGACAGCCACATTAAACAGATTCACAAATTTATCATTATTTTATTTTGCTAATGTAGGAAGGAAACTAACACAATCGAAAAGAAATCACAGAGATTAACATTAAAGACATAATTGGTGGCAAAACAAATGCATCCATAAAGAGGTCTTCAAGACTTCAGACTGTTATAGTTTTTGATTATTCTTATACTCAAACTTCAGTTGCTAATTTCTGGAACTTCATGTACCTTGCTTAAAACGTTTGTAGTTCTATAGGTAACTCTAATGGACAGCGAGTGATTTTGTTTCTTGATATGGCAACACTGAACCATCCCCCCACCCCTTATCTAACAAATGCCTTACATCAGCAAAAAAATTAACTCAGTCACTTTACCTCTTAGTAGCTTGCAGCATTACTGATCGAAGTATATTTCTTTAGAGCTAACCGTGCCACTGCACATGAAGTGATTCTCTAGCATTCGAACAATGCGTCGAAGATATGTAAGATATGTAAGCTCATAAACCTCCAGTTTACTTTTGTACTGAACATTGTGTATCTACATATGGTTTGTGCAGTTTGCTAATACTTAGCTAATATTTATTTCGGCAGACAACCATTATTATTCATTGCAAAACATATCATTGATAAAAGTCATAGGATTGATTTTAAAACAGCCTTCACAATTTGGCATAGAAACTGTCAGGAGCGTATACTTAGGCTTGTTGAAGCGCTAGCCACTAACAAATTTAAGCCCCTCTATATGTTCTTACATGAAACCTACTCCGGTAATGCTTATTTGATCGTATTTCCCAGGTTGTCTCTACATCTTATCATTCTTGGTTCATTAACTCTCTTATTTCCTTCATGTTATGTTTGTACTTACCACACTTCCAGTTTTCATATATAATACCCTTACAAGTAAAGTATAACCAGTTCATTTATCTTTCATTGTGTCTTCTGAATTACTGATTTTATATTTACCGATTTTGATTGTGAAATATAGACGGTCAAATCATATCCGTCGAAAATTCTACTGTTTTGTAAAAGTATAGACAACCACTCCCAGTATCTGGCATGTTGCTATGTAAACTTAATGTAGCACTCTAGATTAAAAATGTTAACATAAATGAAGGGATTAATTAAAATAATGATCAATTCACTAAGTTCACACAATGTTTGAATGTAATAATAACTAGCAACATCAGTTACGCTATGTACAGTTTAAACTGCAACATGCCGGATGCCGCCAAGTATTGACAAAGTCAATAAACAAATTCCTTCTAGATGATTTATTTGTTTGTCGCCCTGAAACCAATAGAATTCTAAAATCATAGAGTTGAGTTTATCATTTTTCACACCGGAATACAGTGTAACTGTTATCCTTATTATTACTATCAACCATAAACATTGTGTTTTTGTAATATGAAAGATGATTTACCGAATTGTTTTATCAGTTTTCCAAATATTTTCAATATCTAGACTGTTGTTTACAAGTTGTTTTGTTTTTGTTTGGTAACATACTTATGATTTTTCTGCTTCACTTTATTCATACTCATCTAGGCAGAAAAAATCCGTGAACTAATCGATCTGTTTCTTAGGGAGTATAAAGAGGAGGTAATTTGCTTTTTTAATTTTAATGTGTATATCACATTATTTGACTTGCAACTGCTTTTATGGTACTTTCTTGACGCATTGATAATCGGCTATAACTCTGCATTCACCTAAATTTGACAGGACAGAAAATGTTGTCAAAGATAGAAAGATCGCTCACAAGAATTTATGCATTTTCTTGACTAAATAGTAAGACAAAGTTTCATAATAATATTGAGATAATCGGCTTGATCTGATACATATTTCCGTCATAACATCATTAGTTTCGACCTTTAAATATTAAATTCTGATACATCACAGCACATAATAATATTGTTTATAGGTGAGTAGTAAGTACATCTATAATTGATTGAGGGTGGAGGTGGTGTTACATAATCATTATGACTTTGCGTCAGTTGTCTAATTATTTGTCTACAACTTGAGTGCCTTTGATTTCAATGCATCCTCATTCGACGTAACATCATCTAGACAAATTCAGCGGGGAATGGGACGTGAAAATCTCCTTATTTGGTCTACAGAAATATTATTAATAACATCAGTAAGTCTGTTCCCATCATCTGCACATTCTTCCTACTTGGCCACTATACACACTTCATCGCCAACTCATTAGTTGTCTATCATGTTTTTTTCTGACTGACATGTTGGGTCCGTGTTGAAACTGTTGACTGCTGATCGACCTGTGTGCAAAGTTTCCAAGTATTTCTTCGTATTCTTTGTTCTTACTCTATATAAGACTTCCGGTTGAATTGTAGGCTAACATGCCTACGTGTATTCAAGTAACAGAAGATACTTTGTGTCGTGAAATTAATAATCACTGCTAATGTACACGAAAATGAACAGGACGATCATTTTTTTCGCTGTACCATGTCTTGTAGTGATTGCAGTTTTTTCCGCTGATTATGTTAGATTTCTTTCTTATAGAGTTATCAATGTTTTCAACGCGATCAGTAGTTAGGGTATGATCTGTGAGAACTACTTCACTTTTTCCACAGATCTGCCTGTAGTGATGAGTTTGATGAACATTTGTATGGATTACTTTTCTTTTGAGGAAAATCTATGTGCTTTACTTCCTTTTCTCTATGGAACCAACATGCTGCTTGATGCGTTGTAGCTAAAGATTTGATCAACTGGATTCAGCTTTATAAAAAAGTAGAACCAATGACTGTATAACTGAATAAGGCGGTCATCTGTCATGGAAACAATCATACTAAGCTACTGGACTATTCACTGAGAAGGCTTTAAATCTCCTTCCTGCTTGAAGCTTATGGTGGTGTGGCTTAAGATGAAAACGGAATGTTAACAGTTAAGACATCCAGCTTGGAAATGTGATTCATCAGAATTGCCTTTCTTGTATACAAATCTTCAATATCACCAAAAACATGATATTCTTTTAGTTTCTGGTCTCCGTTTGTAGTACATGAAAGTTGAAGTAAAGTAAACAATAGAAATATTGCACCTTTTCTCACTTACCTGTCACATTCAATAAATTTCTTGATAGTGTATATGATATTGTATGCAGCCTAGCCAAACCTAGGGTAAGCACTCAAAGAACAGACTTTTTAAGCTGAGAAGCACAAAATTATCAACAGAAACCCAGCGAAATCATACATACATGTTTCTCTGATTTGTATCGTAAATGAAAAGCAGAGCCTGCCTGTTCTTAGCAAAATCTTTATGTGATTCTGTTTGAATCGATTTGTAAGTATCCAAGACAGGAACTTTAAACAACTCATGTTGGCTTTCAATAATTCTCTCAGGTGCTCTACTGACTAACTTTTTCATAACAGGAACCTTTCAATGAGTTAAAGTCGTGAGAAAGGACCAACAATTTTAATAACAGCCAGTATTTAAACAAAGTTAAAAACGTGGAACAGTATAAACTTTATACGAATGCAACAGTAGGATGACAGGTTAAGTTTAAAATTCTAAGTTAAGTAAGCTTTACTTGCAGTGGTTGAATCATATCAACGTTTCAAAATCTTCACTTAACATTAGCCTATGTACTATCTGATCTTATATACCGAAGCAGAAGGATGTCTTAGATCTTTAATTCAAGTTTCTAGTAGCAGTGGTAATAGGCGTTAGAACTACAGTAAGAGTTGTTATCCCATGTTTGATAATGATCAAAACGGATTCATATGCCATCCACTGCTGGTAAACACTCAGTTCAATTAGTACCAGTTGTCCGGAATTAATGATATACATCAACCTGTCCTACTCATGCTTCCAGTGTCCGTAAATTCAGGTGTTAATTGGAAGATCCTGAACTTCACTATTTTGTCTTTATTGAAATACTCTAAGCATGTGAAATTAGGTGAAAGAGTTACTCAGGATAAGCGGTGAAGATGTTGTTTTATAAATAATTTCAAGAATTACAGCAAACTGAATCCGTTAGTAACGTTAGAATAAATTCAATGCATGACAAATGATTGATGGAACGAATGAATGCAATAATATTTGCACAGGATTGAAAATATATTTGCACTACACACAAAGTGCTTAACCTGTTCCATGATACCTCAATTGGTTCTGGCTTCAATAAGCTGTTAAAAACTGTATGTTGTAGAAATAGTCTTTGATGGTTGTTCAGAAAGTCAATAAACTCCCATTATGGGACACAGTATGTGTAATGCTTCAGGTAGCAATCACCATCTGCTGATTACTAGTCAGTCTCCACTATTCCCACAAGTGCTCGTCTATATGTTTTTAGTTTTGCCAGAAAAATACACATTCAGAGTTCTATAGCATAAACTTCCTGGCATAGAAACCTTCCTCAATTATAGCTTTACTTCAATGAGTAATCTTTTATCCTAACTGGTTACTTGATTTAAAATTGTTCTATGAATAGCAAAGCTCCAGTTTATTAGACGTCTCGTCCAAACTATTTCTAAACAGGCTACAATCAACCTGAATAGCATATTTTCCCAATAATTCTATGGGTTTCATGTTGACTTACTTATTCTTACTGTTTTTACAGGCGTAACAGAGACTAGTTATTGATAATTAACTGAAAGTCCTATGATCTGTAGTCCAGTACCAGTATATTTATGATTACATATACATTACACGAATGTATTCGACAAAAAAATATACATAGATTGTAAATTGCAATATCACACTCTTCGATATCATTCAGCTTACCGGTGTTATCTAAAAAAATGCAAGTGTAAATACTTGTACGGGATTCGAGTCTCAGTGGGAACACTGTCACTCACTGGGAGTAGGTGCACCCACCTGAAAAATCTTAAATAAAGAGAAACGTGCATCCTAGATTCCACTGCTAGTTATCACCCATTAAATTGTAAGTACTGGTTGTTGATGTTAGTGTAACTGGTCTCTTCCCATCAGGCTTTCACAGTACTTCTCACCATAGTCAACTCCCATTAGTTATACCTAAAAGTATTCTGATTTCTTCAATTTTCCCATTTTTTTCTATGTTTTGCACTTACTTTTTATTGATAAGAAAATAAGAAATACTTTTCTCTTAACATATAGATGAAACGTCATCAAGAGATACCAAAACATCAAGCATATAAAAGTGGTCGTAAGTGTTTTCTTTCTCATAAACTGTTAATTATCTTTTTTTTGGTATATTATTCTTAATGAAAAAAGAAATGTTGAATTTTCTGTGGAAGAATGTAGCTGAATGCGTGTACGCATTTCAAGAGCTCGGCTGGTTATCAGACCACTGGAAATAGAATTTGTTAACAGAATCTAATACTGAAATAATGAAGACATTGACTGTGAGAATGGTTGGAAAAAGTTTGAACAAGAGTGACGTATCACAATTTAACCCCTTAAGTGGTATTCAAAAGGTCACTAGTTTTAGTCCGTTAATCATCACTTCTTTATGAATGCAAATTTTGCTAACACTCAGTTATTAAGATCGTTCGCTTTCCTTGCTTATTATTATTATTATATTATTATTAGTCCCTTGGGTTCCTAATGGAACATAGAGCTTCAGTAGCACGTCTCCAGTGACCTCTGTTCTCTGAGATCTTTTGAACCTGGTTCCACCACAGCCCACAAGCTCTCATTTCCTCCTCGCACGATCTCTTCCATGTCACCCTCGGACGTCCAACTCGCCGCTTCTCATGGGGATTCCACTCGAGTACCTGGCCTGACGCGTGATGTCCCCAGTCTGCCTTCTCAGTGCATGCCCAATCCATCTCCACTTCTTCCTGCATATTTGTTGCGTGATAGGTTCTTGGTCGGTTCGTTCCCAGAGCTCCTTGTTGCTTATTCTTTCGGGCCATCTGATCTTCAGCAACGAGCCAGCGTAGGCAGTTGTTGATGAATGTCTGTAGTTTATTGGAAATCCCTTTCTCGCTTACTTATCGAATATTAATTTGGTAAATGCATGAAAGCTTCGATTCAAGAGTAATGCTATCAACATTGATCTTTAGGCTTTGTTCAAATGTTTGAATTAAGCATTTGCGAACGACTTGTTCTCAAATGCATTCATATTTCTGAAAACACTGATCTTGGAATGTTGATACGCTTCAGTATACAAAGGGTTAGTCCGATCACCTTGTTCATTTCATTATTGAACTTATAGTATGTCTAATTCTTTGTGGTAAGGTTAGCTAAGATACTGTACCATGTAAGTTTAGTGGATGAAAAACCGTTTTTAATTTCACTAAAATTAAGCATAAATTGCAAGCTTTACACAAAGAAAGGATAAATGAAGAGTTACTGGATGCAAAACAACGCCGTACATGTGCTTCATAAGAAAGCTTGACATTCAAAATTACCTACTTTTTGCTCTTTTCAACAGAGTTTGAAATCTTTTGATACTGGACCATATTTAATTTATTAAGCTGCAATTACACTGTCAGAGTTCCTTTTCGAAGTGGTTTACTTCACCCTATATTCTTAGGAAGAAAATGACAGTAAAATTTATCTTTAAAATACAGAACTGATTTGTCATATGCATGTTTCATGATAGTTTGCAAAGTATTTAGCTTCCTAGTAACTAACTAACATCTAATTAGAAATTAATCAGTCTGATCTGACTGACAGTCAATATCATTCCAACCTTTATTGATTTTTGTATCATACCATTACTTAGTTAGCCTTAGCAAGTAACTAATTTACCGTAAAGATTTTTTCTTAACATCAGTTATCGTCCTTTTTGCGATTAGTTTATAAAATGGCGCCTTCGAGTGACGAATAGACGTTGTCGATTTGCATCTATCAGTGCATTATAACTCTCCTCCTGAGATTTGATTATGCTACTTACCGGCTGAAGTTGTTACTCGATACCGCTCAATGGTTCTACCACTATCTTTTTGTCTTTCAAATAAAATTAACGCAGAAAACCAGTAAATGCACTAAATTAGAGAATGAACACTTCTTTTAATGTTTTTACTTTACTGTTACCTCCTTTCAAAGTGTTATTGTATTTTATCTTACTTTTAAATGATTCATAACTTTGTTATTTTGTCTTATGTGGCGCACGTTTTGGTGCCTACATTGTAATAGGCTGTTGTATTTTATAAACCAGCAAACTTTGCATGAGTAGAAGTAATAATGATACTCCGTCAAATAAATATTTACTACTTATGTTCTTTTTTAAATGCTACTCGTTCACAGTGGGTCCAATCTTAACGGCTGGTAAACTACTGTTGATTAGAATCCCAAATATCTGCAGGTAAACCTTCAATAATCCACGTGTAACTCTGTGATGCTTGATAGATTGTACAACTGAAGTTATGACTGTGGTGATGGAAACAATAAACAGGCATAAGTAACATAAGGCTTGCCATAATTTCATATCAGCCTCAGCTGCCACATCTCATATCATCACATTAAGACGAAAGTCAGAGCAAAGGACAAGTAACTAAAAACATTTATATCTTTGACCTTGGAAAAATATGAAAACGAAACAGGACGGAAATAAATGGAATAAAGAAACAGTGTTCCTTGTAGATACTTTCATCATACTTTTAAATCAGTGAAGTCAGATGCCACTTTACAACGAACAAAGTTTAGTTAGTCCTTATATTCTGATACTTGGTTTATGATAAAGATATCATTGATAAGTCTGCCATAAGACCTGAAACCTGAATTCGCTGTTTCAAAGACTAAGCTGGGGATCGAGTGATTTTAGAACCGGAGAACCATGTAGGTCACATCAACTACTCTTTGGTTGTTAACAGAAAATTTATCTCCTTTCTGGTAGACTTGGACGCTCTAGGATGGACACCAGCTAGTCCAAAAATGTTCAAGTTTCACACTTATTAGTCATGTTACTTGTCTGCTTTATGAGACTGTCGTGATAACCCTTCAGGACCTGCCATCCTTCGAACTAGGATATTTATCTAACTCCAACTTCTGACAGGTAGCTGCTACCTTGACATGTTGGTCGGGCTTGTATATCACGATGACCCAACGAGCTGTACTAATGAGACGCTTTTTCCTTTGTTCTTTCATACCAAAAAGGTCTTTTGTCTGATTAAACAAAAATTAGTTACCCTCACCCTTAACATGTGCTTAAACAATGAAATGATGCATTATGATGACTTAGATTAGTCACCAACGGTTAGTGGTGATCCAAAATCACAGGACGTATGTCCGACCACACTTTCCATGATACAAGTCAATTTTCGTAGCATGAAAACAGCCGTAAGTGAATTTCCTTTGGGCACTGCAGTCACCCACTAAGCCTTCTTTTTCAGACACCTCAAAGAGACCTAGCCTTCCTTGGTGTGGGCAGCCGGGAAGTGTCAATCGTCCTCACAACTTTATCATCTCTCAAGTTCCCCCAAACCACCATCTACCTCTCTCATTGCTATCTTCTAATTTTTCCTTCACGTCTCTTAGTTAACAGCTCTACACCACCTTTAATTCCTTCTAGCTCTGCAGCCTTCAACAACCATCTGCGTCCAAAGAACAGCATCACTGGTGTTTTTAATCAACGCTCCAAATTTCATATCGGAGCCTTCAATATTCACATCCTCCGTTAACTTGGCCAACAAGCTTCATTGGCCAAAACTCTAGCAACCCGGACCATGGATATGTGCTACGTTTGTGAAATACCCATACAAGACCCAAGCACAGTTATTCACTTAACCTCTCCTGGCCAATCTGATGAATCCGCAAAATTCACCCTTCAAGTTTCTGGAGATTTGATGGCCAGCTCTTGTGGTCTTGCAGGTGTAGGAATAGCATTAGGCACTAGGGCAGAAATCTCACTACTAGACTGAATCCAAGTTGAAAGTCGCCTAAGCGCTGTTTGGCTGAACGCCACAATGAGAACTAAAAGAAACGTTGAAACTTACTGTTGTCACTTTGTAATCTCTGCTTAAGCACCCACTGACTGCAGTTCGGATGAAGTGAAGAGTGAAGTCCACTGAAAACTGTCTAGTTTTCTTTTGAAAGCCAAATGTTCAGATGTGGTTTTTATTGCAGGTGATTTCAATGCGCAAGTGGGTAGGCTAATACAGGCAAAAAAGTACTAAGATGGCACTTTCGGAATCCCGGCTGAACGAACAGATGACGGTGATCGCTTACTAAAACTGTGCTCAGATAACCATTTATTTCTAGCTAACACAAACTTCAGACATAAAGAAGGACATTATCTGTTGTGGCATTCACCGAGCTCAACCCAACGATGGACACAGGTAAACCAGATGGCTATTAGTCATTGCTGGAGAGGGTCAATGGAAAACTACTGCTCCTTCTTGAGCACGTGTTTGGATAGAGACCACTAGTTGGTTTGAGCGCGTATATGTCTGCGCCTCAATGGATGTAGGAAAAATTTGGCAACAAAACCATTACGAGTGCAACTTGACAACGAAAACACCAAGGCCGCTTTCAGTGAGAAATTGGCTAAGCAGTTATCGGAACAGAAGACTATCACTCATCCAGAAGAAGCTTGGTGCCATCTCCAGTCTGCTGTTAGAGCAGCGCTGAAGATCGTAGCCAACTCCGAAAGAGTGGCTAAAAAGAGACAGTGGATATCAGCAGCAGCCTCTGAACCAGTGGATGCACGTGAACGCACCCCTGAAGGCTCTGAGTACAGTGAAGAGCGAGCACAACTTAAAAGTAGATTGAGAAAAAGTCTACGCAATTACCGCGAACAGTGGTGGGCAACTAAGGCTAAAGAGATGGAAAAGGCAGCGGTGATTGGTAACAGTAGATAGTTATTTAGACTGATTAAGGAAACTGGAGGGAGAAAATCAACAACGGTTAGTGAGACCATAGCGGAGAAGCACGGGTCTGCGATTCACTCGCAGGGGCGATGACTGGAACGATGGGCAGAACACTTCGAGGAACAGTTTAACTGGCGTCCAGCCACCATTGCGTTGCCTTCTATCCAGTCTAATCCTGAATGAAACATTGAGATAGGCCTCCTAACACTTTCAAAAGTCGAGAAAGTGGTAGGGAACTTGAAACGAGGAAGGGCAACATGACCAGACGGACTAGTTCCTAAGGTATATAAGGACGGTGGTGTAGTGTTTTAGTCAAGTTAACTGAAGTGTTAACTGGTGTATGGGAGTCAAATATGACTGGTCTGAATCACTGACTATTCCAGTCTTC